TCTCTATAGTATCTAACATACTATATAATTTTTCATGTAGATTCCTGTCTTCATTAGAATTTAAGATCCATATGGACAGTGATTTTTTGTTTACTGCTATATCTATTCCTGGCATCTAGACAAGGGCCTGTTATAAAAAGGTGCTCCATAAATACAGGTTAAATAATATCTGTTATCTTTAAGTGTAACAAATTATCCTCCTCCCTCCAAAGATTTGACATTCTGTTCTGTTTTCTTCTATTTTTTTGTGTGGCCAGACTTTTAATATTTAGGTCTTTAGATTTTATTTATTTGTCAGAATGAGAGAGAGAGCGAGCACACACCATGAGGAGAGGGAGAAGCAGGCTTCCCTTTGAGCAGGGAGCCCGATGCGGGGCTCAATCCCAGGACCCTGGGATCATGACCTGAGCCGAAGGCAGATGCTTAACCAACTGAGCCACCCAGGTGCCCCTAATATTTAGGCCTTTAATCAGAAATTTATATTATGAGCTTATTAATTTTTTTCCAAACTACCTTATTCCAACATTAATTAAGACTATATTTGCTTTTTAAAACTTAACTAGCTCCTGTTAGACTCTACTTTTCCAACTAAGCACTTCTTTCCCTTTCCATTGGTGTACTTCTACCCTATAAGTGATTCTCCGAGAATAATTAACTATATGGGAAATTATAGATTTGGATAAGATTTTGCATATGTGAAATGAAAAAAAATAATTTTGATAAAATATTTTACAAACATCATTTCAGCTGCCAGGTATCTAGTTATTCTGTAAATAGTGAATATAAGGAAGGGGAATCAATACTAACCATAAACTACACCTTGTTTAGTTTAATACTATCTACAGAGTAAGATTATCCCCAAATGACAGATGAGAATGCCAAAGTTTAGAGATTACGGACACGCCCAAATATCAAATAAATGTGGCAGAACCAGGAACTGCATATAAATCTGTCCAGCTCCAAAGCCCATGTGTTTCCCACTGCACCAGTAGTTTTCAATAGGGGCAATTTTGTTATCTACCAGGGGACATTTGGCAATCTGGAGACAATTTTGATTGTCATTACAGAGTGGGGGGCGGGGCAGGGGGGTGCTAAAAAATACCTGAGTACTAATGTTGAGAAGCCCTGTACTATAGGACAAACTATTCATATGGCTTTTTTTTCTTTTTAATTTACACAGAGTAATAGTAAATCTTGATCAATCCTGATTGCGTCACCTGGCAAGAAAATGAAGTCACAGTCAGTTTGAAACACTGTCTTATCAGTGTCTGAACCTTTGAATTTAGCAGACCACACATTCCAAAAGTGATTCTCAGGCTATTAAGACAAACTCACTATGCTCAAAAATATCACAATCACCTAATTTTCTTTCAGTTTTTTTTTTTGTTTCAAGTGTTTATTTAAATTCTAGTTAACACAATCACCTAATTTTTTTTAAAGACTTATTTATTTTACAGAGGGAGAGAGAGAGGGAGAGAAGGGGGGGAGGGCAGAGGGAGAAGGACAATCTCCAGCAGACTCCCTGCTGAGCACGAAGTCCTGACACAGGGCTGGATCCCACAACCCAGAGATCATGAAGTCAGGAGTCGGATGCTTAAGTGACTGAGCCACCCAGGTGCCCCAATCACCTAATTTCTAATAGTGATGCACAATTCTACATTTTAATCTCCTGTGTCTTGACTGAGCTCCAAACGTTACTTTTCAACTGCCTGCTGCCACTTAAACTAAACATTTCCAAAGTAAATTTACTTACACTCCTTCAAGAAATTCTCTCTTTTTAGGTTGCCCTTTTCTGTTCAGGATATAATATATTATCCTCTTCGGGGCTAGAAACCCAGTCATCTTTGTCATCTTTCTCTCTCAGCCCCACAATCAGTTAGTCCCTGGTAACACTCTAAAACTTCCTTCTAAGTGCCACACAGTGCTAACTGGAGAGTGGTTAAGAGCTCTGAAACCAGGATGCACAGGTCTGAACCCTAGATGTTACATAAAAACTGAGTTACTTCTGGACAAGTCACTTATCTTTCAGCGACTGTTTCCTTATCTACAAAATGAACTTAATAGTACCTTATGGGATTCTGGGAAGCTAAATGAGTTAACACATGTAAAGCATTTAGGACAGCATCTGGCACATGGTAAATACTTAAGTATTAGCCGTTATTAAATTTATTATTATTAGCTATAAGTAAGGTACTCTCAAAGGTTATCCTCTGAGAACACAATTGGGAAATATCAAGGAGTTAAAGAAAATATTAAATTTACTGTATTTGGGGCTACAAAGGTTCCATAAACACATATCAAAAACAAATGTATTAAATGAAATGTCCTAATTTTTCTTTAAAAAATTATTTTTAATAAAAAAGGAATAAGCCCTTTGAACTACTATGTGTGGTTTAAGTTTTAGTAATCTCCTGAACACAATCAAGGTGCCCTGGTTATAATCAGAGGCCAGCATGACTAGACTGTGATATCAACAAAGAAACCTTTCATGTAAATAAATAGTACTGTAAATGAAGAAAGAGTGTATTCCTGGAAAGAAGATGGTCTTTTCTTGTATAACAAGGCGAGTGTTGCCAACACTGTGTCCCAGGAAAAAGTTCCTGATCCCCCAAAGATCCTTTTCCCATTGTTGAGAATGACCTCTCAGATAATCACAGCTGTATGGTATCAGCCAGTAAGGCCATCTAGGTCTCCTCCTATTCTGATTCTATGCACCCAAATATTAACCTTTTTTTTTAAGATTTTATTTATTTATTTGAGAGAGAGAGAGAAAATGAGCAAGGGAGGGGGCAGAGGGAGAGGAAGAAGCAGATTCCCTGCTGAGCAGGGATCCTGATATGGGGCTCGATCCCAGGATCATGACCTGAGCAGAAGGCAGACGCTTAACTGACTGAGCCACCCAGGCGCCCCCCAAAAATTATCTTACTTAATATTTGGTTTTCTATATACATCCGGCTGAAGGAAGAGAATGTGCTGATCACCAAAAATGAGTATCCAGGTTGCCTGATACTTATAGTACTAAATGTAAATTAATAATCCAAATGCCACCTTTGATCCCTAAACCAGACGTAATCCCTGCTTTTATTTTATTTTACTTATACTTCAACTATCACTTATTTCATTTTTTGTGCCTTCTTATTGCTAGTTTACATACTTATCTCTTCCACCAGACTATAAGCACCTTCAAGTATATGAATAGCCCTAATTCCTTTTTTGTTTTCCACTTACTGTAGAAATTTAATTCTTAAATGTTTGATAAATAAATGAGTGGACAAATAATAGTATCATGTGGCTGTTATCTTCCCAGTAAAGGCTAAAAAGGACTCATAAAGATTGTACTTACCTTATTCTTTTCATTTTGAATAATTTCTAATAGCTGCTCTATATGCCCTTCATCTATGCATCTTTGGCCTGCTAACTGAAATAGGCCAAAATCTTCTTCTTTAAAGTCTTGTTCTTCTAGGATTTGCTGACAGAAACAAAATGAAGGCAAAACAAACATGTTTTGGTGAATAAAAATTCAATAACTACTTGATTTATTCTCTCTGGAAAAAAAAAGTAAATCTGTTTAAATTCTAGGTAAGTTGCACATAGCATATGTGTGAAGATTAGGATAAGCCTAAAAAGTACTTTAATGAATGATCTTGAAATCCAGTCCGCCAAAAAATTCTCCAATAAGGATCAGTATTAAAAATTTAAAAGGTTAAACAAGTAGGTCACTTGGAGAAATAATCCAATCTGCCTTCTGGCCCTCCTGCTATTTATTCACAGGTCAAACAAAGCAAGGATTAAATAAGATAAGCAATTTGAATGACCTTAATTATAACTAAAAATAATCTGGTATTTAACTTTCATTAAAAAGAAAAAAAGTTACTTACACATCTCATTATTATGGATTGAAGCTCTTCCACAGCCATTCCTCGTTATTTTTCCTAGTTTTGATGCTGAAATATAAAACAGTAAACTATCAGTGCTATTAAAGTGTTAGTAAGTTGTGTTTCATTCTGATGAATTATTAGTAAATACAGTAAGGAAAATGTGAAGTTTTAATGCTGAAATGTTTTTACTGAAAGCATCTTAGCCTAAGGAGTAAAAAACTTGCATCTTTTAAGCTTTCTAGGAGAACAGTTTTGAAAGATACACTTGAAAAAAAAATCCTCTAGGGTATGCCCAACAGAAGAGCAAATATGGACTAAATAAATGGCTTTAAAAAGGCAAAGTATTTCTTTTCTGAAAAAATTTCTGAAAAGTGTTCCTGAAGTCAGTTCTAGTAATTAGGGAATTAAAATTTTTTTCAATGTCCCCCTTGACAAAAACTGGAGCCAATACAACTCACCCAGAGTGGGTGAAAGTTCAGATGCCCACCGTCCCAAGTGTGACCCGGACATTTTTCTGTAAGAGATGCAGTCCCCCAAATACTCCAGTTGGTGTAATCCCTATATTGCACGGAGACGAAGCAACCAGCAGCGCTCAGGAGAACACCGTTCCGTCCCGCAGGCCATCGTTTGTCCCGGCGGGAAGACCCGGCCCCAGGCCCGCAGCGGGAGCACAGGTCAGCCGGTCCGCACGGCCGCGCGCTCCAGGGCGGATAAAACCCCAGCGCGCCTGCGGACTGCATCCAGGGGAAGCCATTTCTCCCGATTCCTCCTCGCCTAGGCGTTCGGGCCCCACGACCTCGCGGGGCCTTGCGCGCCGTGGCGCCGGGTCCTCCGCGGCTCACAGGTGGCCGCGACCCGGGCCCTCCCGGACTCCCAGGTGCGCCCACTTACCCGCCGGGCCTTTCGCCGCTCTCGGCGCCCTCCTCCACCTCCTCCGGCAGCGCAGGCCTCTCTCCGGGCCCCGCCCCGCCCCGGCCGGCCCCGCCCCGCCCCGGCCGGCCCCGCCCCGCCCCGGCCGGCCCCGCCCCGCCCCGGCCGGCCCCGCCCCGCCCCGGCCGGCCCCGCCCCGCCCCGGCCGGCCCCGCCCCGCCCCGGCCGGCCCCGCCCCGCCCCGGCCGGCCCCGCCCCGCGCTACGCGAGGGGAGGCGGAGCCGCAAAGGGAGACGCCAGCTCCGGGCCTCACCTCCTGACGACGCCGCGGATGGCCGACTGCGCGGGGCCGCGCTCTCCGCGCCTCAAGGCCCGGGTCCCCCGCGCCTCCCGAAACGCCGCAGGTAGGAAGAAGGGCCTCTCTCACGTTTGCACCCTGAGAACTGAGCCCCTACAGGGTTCCACAGTAAGGCCCGCGGGGCGCACCGGAAAGACTGCTCCAGGAGCGGACGTCTCCAGGGCAGAGAAGGCCGAGAGCGTCTCATCACTGTCCTGGGTCTTCTTGAAAAGACCTCCGGCCATACCCCCACCTCTTTACACTCGTGTTCCAAGATTTCCCCCAGAATGGGCGGTCTCTGAGGGAAAGAGAGTAGAGGTGCTGGAGTCTAGAGCTGGCTCGCCGAGTGGTCAAGTGAGCCCACCGTAGAGATGTACTGCTGCTTTGGTCCCCGGGTCCTCTGAGGTGTCACCCCCACCCCCCGAACATTCGGGGGACAGAAACAGGTTGCCCGTAAAAGTACTCCTATCTCAGATTTTCAGGAGGACGTAACCGCCCAGCCGTGATACGTGAGAAAATTCAATCCCCAAAGAAACACATTTTAACCAAGAGAAATTCGGAAATAACACAAGCAAACTGAATTCCCTGCCCATTTCATTTATTTTACACACAGGATTGGAAAGTAATGTGTGGGGAAAAGAAGAAAAGGTTGTCTGCGGTTTGAGTAGGAATCTGTCCTGTAAGCTAGTGTGTTTCTGAAGACTTGACCTACTGTTTTTTTATTATTGTAGGTGCTAAACAGACAAATGCCTTAAAACAAGAAGATGCTTCTAAAAGGTATGAGAACTACTTGGACAAATGCATTTGCTTATGTGTTTATTTCATATTAATTGAACCATTTTTAAAAACAGTAATGGGGGCGCCTGGGTGGCTCAGTTGGTTAAGCGACTGCCTTCGGCTCAGGTCATGATCCCTGAGTCCTGGGATCGAGCCCCACGTCCGGCTCCCGGCTTAGCGGGAGCCTGCTTCTCCCTCTGACCCTATCCCCTCTCATGCTGTTTCTCTCTCTGTGTCAAATAAATAAATAAACAAAATCTTTAAAAAAAAAAAACCAAACAGTAATGGGTGATACCTTAGAAAAAATTATTATGGGAGAGAAGGGGAAGATCAGAGAAGCACTATAAATTCTCATATAGACTCATTATATCTCTCCATTCCAGGCTTTAAGAAAACCAAATCAAGACACTTTTAGGTTGCTGGTGAAAGTATGAGTATCTGTAGAAAGATTAAGGGAATAAACATTCCTAATTTAACCAGGTATTCCTTTTCCACCTCTTCAGGGACACTTGCCTTTTATTACTTTATATGCCAGAGACTCCAAGAAACCTTTACAGTTGTTTGTTTACATCATGTCTGTATTTTCAGCAAAAAGTCCTATTCTGTTTCTTGGCATCTCCTAAAAAGGCTAGATTTAGCTCCTGTCACAAAGAAGTTTCTAGACTAGGAGTAGTCTGTGAAAGTGATTAAAATACATATGTCTATGGTTTATCCTTTTTTTAAAAAAAAAAGATTTATTTATTTTAGAGAGAGAGTGAGTGCAGGTGTGGGGGGGCTGTGGGGAGGGGCAGAAGGAGAGGGAAAGAGAGAATCTCAGACTCCCCCATGGAACACAGAGCCTGATGCAAGGCTTGATCTCATGACCCTGAGATCATGAGCTGAAATCGAGTCAGGTGCTTAACCACCGGAGCCACCCAGGCACCTCTATGATTTATCCTTCATCAGGCAGGTATTGGCTTTCATTTACTCATTCTTTGAAAAATTATTTACCAAATTTGAGATGTTCCAGACCTGTGTTAGGCCTTCAGGATATAGTTTTGAACAGAATAAACACAGTTCCTTTCTAGTGGAACAGAGAAGTCTGATGAGGGGTTCAATCCCATGATCCTGACATCACGACCTGAATGGAAACCAAGAGTCAGACACTTAACTGACTATACCACCGAAGTGCCCCTTGTGATCTATTTTAGAGAATATTTCCCTGTGGAGCAGCATAATTATGTTGACTTGGTTTTATGATACACTGCAAGAGTAAAGTTAATATTAATAATGATGGTAATTTGCAACTTTCCTCAATAGTGATCTGACCACAAACCCAAGGAGATTATATTTTATTCTGAGCAGTACAGTGTGGGAAGTATAAATACACTAGAACGTATGGACAGATTACCCTGGATGATGAAACAGTTAAAAATCCATGGAGGTAGGTAACCAAATAGTTGTTGAAGGAAGTGATCCTTTATAAATCTATGCCAACTGAAAAATACTTCTACATTCAATCCAACCAAATACTATTAAGCCAGAAATAAAAGAACTTTGCAAAGATATAAAATAATTCTACTCTTTTCACTAAGTTTTTTATTTAAAAAGTTATTAACATGTAGGGCGCCTGGGTGGCTCAGTTGGTTAAGCGACTGCCTTGGGCTCAGGTCATGATCCTGGAGTCCAGGGATCGAGTCCCGCATCGGGCTCCCTGCTCAGCGGGGAGTCTGCTTCTCCCTCTGACCCTCCTCCCTCTCGTGCTCTCTGTCTCTCATTCTCTCTCTCACAAATAAATAAATAAAATCTTAAAAAAAAAAAAGTTATTAACATGTAATTACTATTTTTACATGCATTAATAAGTGCTTTAAATTTTTCTCATTTTTAATCCAAGTATGGTAAATATCAATTCATATAATCTACATAAGCAGAAGTTCTCATTTTAAAAGTGTAAAGGAATGCTGAGACCAAAAAATTTGAGAACCACTGCTGTACACCATACTACCTGTCATCATTTAGGACAGAGGGCAACAGCGAGATAGGGCTGTTCATGGGAGCAGCTCTAGGCATCAGTTAAGAGTGAGTGTAACTTACTGCAGGTTGAGGTAGCAATTCCTTCGTGTGGGTTGTTAGACTGATCCTAGTATATGGCATAGCTTTTATTGGTAGACAGCAATATGAGAAAAATAAAATAATGTTTTTCATAAAGCCAAATACATTTAACATAAAAAACTGCTTTTAAATCTGTATTCATGTCTTTTATACTCCTTTGATATAAGAATGGCCTTTATGAAATCGTAGGAGAACAGTTGTTAGTTGCAAATTTCTTCTTGTTTTAATGTCCCTATTTGGCAAAAGGAAGAGTTGGCAATCCGGCATCATCCTTCTTTTTTGTAGCATATTATTAATACATGTTATATTTGTTTTGTAGAATATTATTTTTCTAGGCAAGGAATTAGAGTCTAAAGTCTTGAGAGTCAGTGAAAGTAGGACGAAAAAATGAATACATTATAGATCCAGATATGAGAGCCAAGTCAAGGCCCAGGAGGCTGGCTGAGGTAGTTCTGGTAGGAAAGGAGAAACCAGTGCAGGATAGGAGCAAATAGGTTACCAAGATGGTTGAGTATCTTTGGTTCTATGGCAAGGTTTCTCAACCCTTTTGCACATTAGGATTATCTGGAGCTTGCAGTGGGACCTAGGCATAAAATCTTTTAAAGAAATCTCCTTAGATGATCCTAATGTGCAGCTAGGATTGAGAACCACTCTCCTAGAGCCATTGTTTATTGTTATGTTCCATGGTGTGGAAAGGCTGACAGCTAGCAAAGGCTGACAGTCCCACTGGTGCCAGGGCAAGGACCAGCCCTCGTAGGAAGATTGTTTTCCTAAACTACATTGTCATGTCGATAAAGTTATTTAATAAGACTTAATAACAAGGGGCGCCTGGGTGGCTCAGTCGTTAAGCGTCTGCCTTCAGCTCAGGTCATGATCCCAGGGTCCTGGGATCGAGCCCTGCATCGGGCTCCCTGCCCAGCGGGAAGCCTGCTTCTCCCTCTCCCACTCCCCGGGCTTGTGTTCCCTCTCTCGCTATCTCTCTCTCTGTCAAATAAATAAATTTTAAAAAATTAAAAAAAAAAAAATAAGACTTAATAACAAAAGTGAGTAAACACTTCTTTGCAAATAGGACTCTATCTTGTCAAACTGGGCTATCATTAACTTTTGAGAGTTGACACAAATACATTTTTACTTGTAAGAACAGCTGAAGTTATCTTTTTCCTCTCTGATCTTTCCTGATTTCTAAGGATTTCAAAGGAAAAGCCTGTCTTTTTAGGTACACACAGGAGTAATTGAGAGAGTATAATCACTAACTGGCAAAAAAATTTCACCTCATTTTCTTCCTTGTGCTCTAAGCCTTGGAAATCAAATAGTCCTGTTATTGTGGCAGACTTCTGTGTGTTAATACTTTGAAAAGTATTGTATCAAAAGTAACAGCATTAAAAAATACAAATTTAAATAGCAAAATAGCATGTTTGTGCTGTGTTCTAAGACAGAAAATTGGCTATGATAAAACTTTTAAGTAGAATAACTTTTAAATTTTATTTTATTTTACTTTTTAAAGATTTTATTCATGAGAAGAGAGAGACAGAGGGAGCACAAGCAAGGAGAGAGGCAGAGGGTGAGGGAGAAGCAGACTCCCCGCTGAGTTGAGAGCCCAACTCAGGACTCGACCCCAGGATCTGGAGATCATAACCTGAACGGAAGGCAGATGCTTAACCCTCTGAGCCACCCAGGCGCCCCAAACTTTTAAATTTTAAATACGTTTTCATTTTTTAATTTTAGGAAAGCAGAACTAGAAGCAGCTGTGAGAAAGAAGATTGAATTTGAGAGAAAAGCTCTACATATTGTTGAACAGCTTTTAGAAGAAGATATTACAGAAGAATTCCTAAGGGAATGCGTATGTGTTAAGTTGGGAAATTATTACATTTGTAGTATTAGATCTTTAAATCTGTGCAATATGAGACTTCCTTGTATTATCAAAACTTTGAATCTGTTCTCAGTCACTAGATGCAAGTAGCATGCTATATAATTCATGCATTTGAAAATAATCACCTATTAGGCATTCCTTGTTGTTTTAAAATGCACTAATGAAAAATAATATGCATATTTTACCCCTTAATAGTAGTTCTTTAAATATGTCTGCTAATCTCACTTGATTTTCAGCACTTTGCACTAATTATCCCGATGTTATTTTCCATATTCTGTGTGTTGTCCTATTTTAGTAACAGAAGGTTATTATTTTTATTAATGTAGTTCTATTAGTTTTGATATTTTAAAAACCTAGAATATAGATCATTTATCATTTAACACATAACACGAGAATTATAATCTGCATTAAAAGTTTTTTTTCCTTTAACAACTCTATTGCATTAAAATTTCAAATGGAAATTTCTATTATATCCTCATAATCCTTAAGAGAAAAAAGAAAAGGAAAATTAAAACTCAGAGCTTCCATTGCAAAAATAATTATTAGTGTGGGTCAGAGATTTTTTAAACAAGAGGAATATAAGTAGGACAATATTTAAATTGATAGAGGTAACTACATCAGAATCTGCATGCATGATGACACTAAAGACAAAGACAAATCAGAAATGCTTCATTTGAAACAAATACCTTCTATCACTCTTAGTAAGAAGTATTTCAGTCCTTGGGAAAACAGAAAAACTTGTTCAAAAATGATCTCAAAGTTATGAAATAGTTATGAGTTGAGATTTAAACATGAAGATACATTAAGGGGAAATATTTGGTGTCAGCTTATAGCCACCTCATCAGTCTCCTGTACAGTTTTCCAGAAGCTGGAAGATTTTGTATCCTGACACCTTTGATATACTTCGTTTTTTAAGATCGTTCTTTGAAAACAGGTAAATTATATTTTATTCTACATGGTTTATTTTTTGAATAATATATTTTTATTTTTTATTTTTTTAAAGATTTTATTTATTTATTTGACAGAGAGAGACACAGCTAGAGAGGGAACACAAGTAGGGGGAGTAGGAGAGGGGGCCCAATGCGGGGCTTGATCCCAGGACCCTGGGATCATGACCTGAGCCAAAGACAGACGCTTAAGGACTAAGCCACCCAGGTGCCCCTGAATAATATATTCTTAAAATAAAATATACTTTTCAGTGTTTTGCTTTGGAATAGCAATCACTATAGCACCACTTCTTTCTCCTGCCTCAGAATTACTTCATGAACTACATATCTACAAAGATGTATAGTCTCTTGGCAGAAGTTTTTTCGGGTTGTTTGTTTTTTTTAATAATAGCTAACATTTGGGGCGCCTGGGTGGCTCATTCGGTTAAGTGTCTGCCTTCAGCTCAGGTTGTGATCCCAGGGTCCTGGGATCGAGCCCTGCATTGGGCTCCCTGCTCAGCAGAGAGCCTGCTTTTCCCTCTCCCTGTGCCTGCCACTCTGCCTACTTGTGCTCTATCTCTCTGTCAAGTAAATTTAAAAAAAAAATTTTTTTTTAAATACAACTCTTTAAAAGAGAATAATAGCTAACATTTTTGAGTGCTTACTATGTGTCCAGTGCTTTTCTAAATGTATTTCCTTTATTTTCTCCTCTGATTCTAACATCATACCTGTGAGATAGACTTATTATCCCTACGTTTTCAGATGAGATCAGTGAGGCTTAGAGAGATGATAAATGAACTTGTCCAGTAATCTAGCGGGGAAATGCCCCTCTCATTTCATTTTAGGGGAAGTTCATCACACCTGCTCACTATAGCGATGTCGTGGATGAGCGTTCTATTATTAAACTCTGCGGTTATCCCTTATGTCAGAAGAAACTAGGAATTGTAAGTAATTAATTTTTTAAAATAGAAACTTAAATTTTTTATATTTAGCAAAATACTTTGTAGACAAGACAAGAAATGAAACAGGTCATGAACTAATTACATGAGTTAGCCAAAGATATGATATGATACTTGAATTCTTCTTAAGCTATACTTTCGTTTTTTTAGGTACCAAAACAGAAATATAAAATTTCTACCAAAACCAATAAAGTCTATGATATTACTGAAAGAAAGGTAAGCTTAAAGGCTATTCTCATGTGGCAGTTAATTTTTAATATACTAAATGGAATTTAAAAAGAATTGTTTGAAAAGTTTGCCTTTTAGAAAGTAGCCACATTAAAAGTTTACTTGAAAATATTTCAAAAATATTTGAAAAAGTTTATTTGAAAAATATCTAATATTTGAAAATATTTGAAAATTAAAGCTTTGCTTTAATTAATACTTGAACATTTAAAAATTAAAAGTGCAAGGGCACCTGGGTGGCTCAGTCGGTTAAGCGTCTGACTCTTGATTTTGGCTCAGGTCATGATCCTACGGTAGTGAGATCAAGTCCTGCATCTGGCTCCCATGCTGAGCGTGGAGCCTGCTTGGGGTTCTCTCTCTCTGTCTCCTCTCTGCCCCTCCCTCCTCCTGTTCATGCTCTCTTTCTTGCTCTAAAAATAAAATAAAATTTAAATAAATAAAATAAAAACTAAAAGTGCATACCAGCACAAATTCAGGCAAGTAAATCATGAAACAGAATAGAGAGCCAGAAGCAGACTCACCACATGTGGACACTTTATATGTGACAACAGAAATATTATAGATCAGTGGAGAAAGTATGGATTTTTCAGTAAAATAGTACTGGCACAAATCCAAATGGAAAAACTGAAAATTGATCCCTGTTTCAGTAATATTTAAATTAAAAAAATGAACGCCTTTTTAAAGAAAATATGGGAAGGTATCTTTATAAACTTGGAGAGAAAATTTCTTAAATAAGATAGACAATTACAGACCATAGAGGAAAAATTGGTAAGTCTTTCTACATTAAAATTAAAAACATTTGCTTATCAGAAGTTTCCAAAAAAGAGTGAAAAGATAAGCTATAAATCAGAAGGAGGTGTATTTCCCACATATAACTGACCACAGATTCATAACCAGGGAAAGACAGAAAACCTTGCAGAAAAAATTTTTTTTGAGAGAGTGAGTGAGTCAGGTGGGGGGGGGGCAGGCAGAGAGAGAGGGAGAAAGAATCTCAAGCTGAGTGTGGAGTTTTGACAGCGGGCTCTATCTCACAACCCTGAGACCATGACCTGAGCCAAAATTGAGAGTCAGATGCTTAACCAACTGAGCCACCCAGGTACCCCTAGAAAAATTTTATAGAAGGAACTTGATTATGAATATATGAAAAGATGTTCAACCTTATCAGTGATAAGGGAAATAGCAAATAAAAAATAAAAACACATTGATTTACATTCTCACGGCCCCCAAATTAGCAAAATTAAAATCTGACAGTATTAGGCATTCTTTATACTACTGGTTAAATATTAGGAACTCTTTATACTACTGGTTAAATAAAATTGCATCCTTTTTGGGAAATTGGTATTATCTAGTAAAGTCAAGTTCACACATTTTTTATGGCCAAGACTTTCTGTTGTTTGGTATATATTTTAAGGAATTTCTTGCCCATTTGTACAACTATGTATGTATATGAATGTTCCTAGTTGGATTAACAAAATATGCTATATACATAGAATGGAATAGTATCCTTTTAAAGGAGGGAAATTCTGACACATGCTACAGCATGAATGTACTTTAAGACATTATGCTCTTATGAGACATTATGCTAAATGAAATAAGCCTGCACAAAAGAACAAATATTAAATGCTTCAACTTATGTGAGGTAACTAGAGTAGTTGGATTCATAGTTACAAAAGTAGAATGGTGATTGAAGAGGCAGAAATGGGGAATTGTTGTTTAATGGTATAGAGTTTCATTTTGCAAGATGAAAAGAGTTCTAGAGATAGATGGTGGTGATGGTTGTACTACAGTGAGAAGGTATTTAGTGCCACTGAACTATAACACTTAAAAATGGTTAAGTTGGTAAATTTTGTGTATTTTACAACAATTTTTTTTAATTTTAAAAATTCTTAAAAAAATGTTTATAGGCACATTGTAGTGATGGCCAAAAAGTTAGAAACAACTCAGTTATTCATAAACAATAAAGGTAATGTACTTACACAATGGAATGTAATACCAAGCGTAAATATATAAACTACACCTACATGAATCTGAAAAATATAACGTGAAACAAAAAAACCCCAGAAAACATAGCAGTACAGTTACATTTACACAAAGTTTAGAATTAGGCAAAACTCAATGATATCTTTTGTAGGTATGTGTATATAGATAGCAAAACTAAAGGAAAGCAAGGGAATGAGGAACACAGAATTTATGATAGTGATTACTTCTGGGGAATATGGAAATGACTCTGGGACAGATACATGGAGAGCTTCAAAGGTACTATGCATTATTTCTTTTCTTGGGTGGTGGATTCTTGGGTTTTCGTTATTTTCTTTGCACTACATATTTATATTTTCTGTACATAAATTGTGTTGCACAATAAGAAAAAAATAATTTGCTAATTTTAAAAATGTTCCTTTCAGTGTTTTTGCAGCAATTTTTGTTACAAAGCATCTAAGTTTTTTGAAGCACAAATTCCTAAAACTCCAGTATGGGTTCGAGAAGAGGAAAGGTAATTTAAATCATTACATATACATTTGTTGATATAGTCCAACTTTTTGAGATATATAGAGAGTAGTCCTAGTTTTCTGTAGAATTTACCATTGTACACATTTTAATTGTGGGGAAACGGTTATATTTTAAGCATAGTTATTAAGGATTTTATACTTAAAATCAGAAAATAATTATAAATGTTGTTTCTTAGCTGTTAGCTTTAGTGTCAAAACCTGAACTTTGCTTTCTGCTATGCCAATTATTTCTATTAATCTTACTAGTATAATAATCCTAGAGTAAGAATGTTAAAGTTTTCCAGTAGATACTAGATCTTAGGATCCAGCTGAACTGACTTTGTTGTTAGAAAACTATGTATTAAAAACAAACAAACAAAAAATATGTACTAAGGTTAAAAAGTTCAGGTTACTAATTCACTCAATCTTTATTAAAAATCAGTACAGTATTTCATAAATTTAAAGAAATCCAATATAATTTTTAGCAAAAAGGTATAGGAACATTTCTGGGGTTTTGCCTCTTGGGAAATGTTTAAACATTTGCAACATTTTAATTGTTGAATTTGAGAGAAAATTTATTATTGAGGGGCAAATGCCATAATCTACCTTTTCTATAAAAGGTAACAAAATTTATTGTGTAATTAAACTATTATCCAATTTCAAACAGGCTTAAATGAAATAATGTCCCATTAACTCATGTTTCATAGAGAATATTGCAACACAAGGCATGTAGTAAAAGAATATCAATGCTAAATAAACTTAATGACGTAAATGTAATGAGACCCAAGTTAACTAAAGATCTTTGCCTAAAAAAAAGCTTATTAAAGTCTTATCTGATGCACAAGGTAATATGAAGCCACTGTAGTTTGAACTAGCATCATTTGTACTGAGGGACAGTCCCTTTGTTGGCTGACACCTTTGCCTGCAGATCCAGTGCTCTGTGGTTTAGAGTATGTCAAGGGGCGCCTGGGTGGCTCAGTTGGTTAAGCATCTGACTCTTGATTTCGGCTCAGGTCATGATCTCAGGGTTGTGAGATTGAGCACCATGCCTTGTTGGGCTCTGTACTCAGCGTGGAGTCTGCTTAAGATTCTCTCTATCCCTTCCCGCCGCCCCCCACCCCACCTCATTCACACACTCTCTCTTAAAAAAAAAAAAAAAAAGATAATAAAAAACACACCCACCCTATGGCCTTTGTTAAGTGAATTACACATAATGAAGACTAAATTGTTCACTATTTCTCCACCAGCCTGACTTTTTCATTTAGAGGATAAAGGATTATAGCATTGTCCAAGGTGACTGGGGACCTAAGAGCACCTTTTTCGCTAACACTTTTTTTTCTTTCTTAACATTTCTTTCAGCAGAGCTACTCATCGCCTCCTTAGTCTTATGGCAGTTACATGATCTGGTCCTAAGCTGTTAAAACTAGTGTTTCCTTAAGTTACCCTTTGTTTCTAGTGATATCTTCTCTACTTATTAAATTTAGCCCATCCTCATATCTGCTTCAAAACCATTTACCAAATCAGCCTTTCTGTCACCTTCATATTCTTCAGATATAGTTATTGGTACTTCCTTCAGCTAATTTAAAAGTTCTTCCCTCTTTTTCCTAAAATCTTATTCTATGTTCAGAATGCCCACCTTTTCCCAAAATATGAAGCTCTGTCACTTTATATTTGTGGTTCTTGAAATTCCACTTTACCTATATGCCCTTCCCTACCTCACTAAAAAAGAGAGATGAAAATGGCCTTGGTTTCCCTAATCTATACAAATCAATTTAATTTATATTCAGTGTGTGTAGTATGTGCTTAGTATATGACAGGCTACCCACACCTGTACGAGCACACACACATGAAACCAAATCTATGAGTTTATTTTTTTTTTAAGATTTTATTTATTTATTTGACGGAGACACAGCGAGAGAGGGAATACAAGCAGGGGGAGCGGGAGAAGGAGAAGAGGCTTCCTGCTGAGCAGGGAGCCCGATGTGGGGCTGGATCCCAGGACCCTGAGATCATGACCTGAGCTTAACGACTGAGCCACCCAGGCGCCCCCAAATCTGTGAGTTTAAATTGAAATGTTAACGGGATGGCATAACGAGTACACGAGTGAAACAGATTTGTACTTAATTCTAATGGGGACAAGTATTGGGGAGCCTTCAAATGCTTTTGAACAGAATTTGATCTGACGTTGGTGTACAAGATGAATTAAAGAAGAAAAGATCATAAAGAGCTGAAAGGCCCTTAGACACAATTTAACCCAATATCTTTATCAAAGGAGCTCAGAAAGATTAAATGTATTTCGTAAGCTAGTGATAGGTTCTGAACAATGCCAGGATTCCAGTTGATTGGAAATAACCAGTGAGTAATCTATAAATATACAATTGTCACAATGTACATAGTGTAACTGTAGCCCCTATTTATGTATGATACTTGTCAGTATATAGCCATATTAGTATTTTTTATATCTGCATGCATCAGTGTTACCTTAATTTATAAATTCTTATGGGCAAGCGTTATGTTAATTTATTTCATGAATCCACTAGAGGTCACTGTGTCTTCAGAGAATGATATTTTTAAGTGTTTTAATGATAAGAATTCTAGAATTCAGTGTTCTTTTCAAAAGCCTTTTTAGCTGGTGAACGTGTAAGCTCTACAGAAATGTGATTTTTAAAGAAAGTCTGTTCACAAATGGTATGGGGTATGGGGTATAGCATTCAGAACCTATCTTCTTTAAAAGAAGGGGAAAAAATGTTTCTTTTAAATGGCAGCATTTAGTATTTAACGCAGAGATATTTTTATTAACTTAAAGTGTCATCATAATAAATTACATCACCATCATAATTAAATCATAATATTTTTTATTTATTATTAAATAATAATAAATATTAAATTTTTAAAAAATAAAAGGAAATTTTAAAATCCACTCAAAGAATTGAATATTTTATCACAGTGATTTCCAAAATTTTTGAGCACCGTAAGTATATTTTACATTATGATCTAATACATATAACTGAAACAGAGTTTTATGAAATACATTTTTCCTTATAACACGAAAGCCTCTGATATTTTCTGCTCTGTTGCTTTTTTAAAATGCTGGTAGCAACCCATTTACTTGGTTGATTCTGATCCACAGTTTTAAGAGTACTGTTTTGTTGTATCTAGCTTAGGTTTTTAGTTGTGTTACTGTCAGAAAGTGTTATCATCAACAGTAAGCCTCAGTTTCCTCATTTGCAAAGTAGAAAGTTGCATTTAACCTCTTAGTTCCCTTTAATTCTAATGTTTTACAGTTCTGGGTCAGTCACTGCCACTGTAGTGAAAATTTGCTAGATAGGAAATGTCTTATTTATAAAAGTGATGAAAATTAAAATTATCAACATAAGACTAGGGAAAGTTATACTACTTTTAGGGAAGTCTGTCTCATTTAAGAATTTAGATTAAAAGTTACTGACTTTAATCTAATTAAGGTTGATAAAGGATTGGATCAAAGTTTTTCAATTATGAAGAAAAACAGGAATGTTTTATAGCATGTCCAGAGCAACTTGAAGTTGACATCTTCAGGGACACCATGATCTTGCACACTATTTGGAAATAGAATATTGAATTTGACTCAATATAGTCTTTCTTACATTGCTGTGAAAGCTAATATAAATTTCTTCATCAGATACCAAAATACTAAAATCTGTAGTGTCTCTTAACATTTCTAAGGTATTATTTTATATCACAGAAAGCTCACTACCTCATTGGTAAATATGTATAGATAGATTTAAGAAAGATTTAGACAGGGCACCTGGGTGGCTCAGTTGGTTAAGTGACTGCCTTCGGCTCAGGTCATGATCCTGGAGTCCCTGGATTGAGTCCCGCATCGGGCTTCCTGCTCGGCAGGGAGTCTGCTTCTCCCTCTGACCCTCCCCCCTCTCATGTGCTCTCTCTCATTCTCTCTTTCTCAAATAAATAAGTAAAATCTTTTAAAAAAAAAAAAAAAAGAAAGATTTAGACAAATTCATGAATTCTAGCTCCATACTTCTGTTGAGGCTTTGGAGTCAGAAGGGGCCTTAGAGGTTTTCTACTCCCTCATTTTTATTATTAAGGTATGAAAAAATATCTAGAGTATATCTTTAATGTCATGGAGAATAGCAGTGCTTCTCACAAAATGTCTCCTGATGCCGTGTGAGAGACAAAACATTGACCTAGATGGACTGGGCCATGACGCAGTATGATGCTTCTCATGTTGTGAGTTAGAAATTTTTCACCCACTTGGTGGCCAGAAACAGACCACATACACTGTGTTCCTCTGAGACAGCGTGCTCATTTAGATAGTCATATAGTTACACTTAGAAATCCTGTTTTGTTTGACTGTAGGCTCTGACAAGCCTTGGAAGTTTCTTTGTAACCTAAAAAGTCAGGAGTTAAAACTAAGAAGGAAGGACAAATGTTGAGAATCAAATTATGGTTTAAAAGATAAAATTAGGGTGAATGGTTAATGCTGACAGAGCTAAAAGCGCCATCATGTGGCCCGGAGTAGGGGATTTTCACACATGCTTCTTGGCAATAACAGTATAATCTCAGAGGTGCGGAAGCCAAAAAACCTCTGCAGAACAACTTCTGTAACCTCTTCCTGAACAGCCACTTCTGTTGCTTGGTATACCGAATAAAAACTTTCTGAAAGAGGTTGTTTGTTTTTTTTTTAAGATTTTATTTATTTGTCAGAGAGAGTATAAGCAGAGGGAGTGGCAGGCAGAGTGATAAGAGGTTTTAACATGTCTCAGATTATATTTGGAAAATTTCCACCACGGGGGGGAATTGTAGCCTGCTGCTTCTGTTGGTTTATGTTGAATACACATATTCTGACCGACACAAACATATACATCGATACACATACATTCGCAGGTTTTTTGGCACAAGTTACTGCTAATTTTAGATTTCTTTTGCTAAAGTTACAATTAATCATCTAATTTATACTTCCATGAAAATAATATTTATGAAGAACTAGTTTGGATGTTTTCTTTAA